TCGGAGCCAGCTCTTAAGTCGAAAAAACCCATCAGTGACAGTTTTCAGTGGGGTCCGGATGGCGGCGGAGGCGCAGCTGCTCAGCCCTGCGACCGGTCCCTGCTGCTCCGGCTCAGACCCTGGCCCCCAGATGGGCTTCAAGCAGGGAGTGGCCCAGGAAAGGCAGAGGGACCTCTCTCATCTGTGCCTGGTACCTGCGCTTTGTCCGACACACGTCGCTGGCTTGAAACCAACACCCAATGGCGAGCATCAGGGGAGAGCTAGAAGCCACCCAGACACTGTCTGGCTGGCTTCCCTGAAGAACAGCAGGCAGCACCCACACAGCCTGCGACAGCACTAGAGAGGAGATGGCACTTTCTACTGAGAAAAGCCGGAAAAAAATCAGGAATACTGAACTTCATGTTTTTCATCCCAGACTCATCTCTTGCTACGTTCACAACTGCCAAGCACACGTGGGCTTTCCCCTGCACCAGCTGTGCTTTTCCCTCTTTTCTTCAGCTAATGCAGTTGGCTTCTCCAGTTGGAGCAAAGAGACACTGAGGCAATAGCTTGACGTTGGGCCATGAAGGCAGCACAGACAGGCCACCCCTTTAGGTCAGGCCTGACAAGCTGCTGGCTCGTCACAGCGGCACAGGGCTGCTGAAAGGGACCAAGACTCAGGAAGGGCCAGACCTGGGTGAGTGACCAAGGGGATCACTCATCACCTCTGCAGGCAATCCTTCGAACAACTGTGAAAGCCCACATCAAAATGCCTGGGAGCTCCTCTTCCTCGCATCCAAACCTGAGAAGGGAGAAGCCTTAAGTTTATTCACATGGGATTGTCCCATGCCAAACGCAGCAAGGAAGGACCATCATCTTCACAGTTTGCAAAACATTTACCGTAAGCACAGTACAGAAGAGGTGTGCTTTTGAAGCCTATGGCTGCTGAGAGTCAGAGACAGGACTTCGATGCTGTGCAAGAATTAGTATCAGACTCAGCCGGTTTAAACTGCCTTTAAATGGCACTATTTGGTGAGGGAAACAGTTGTGAAATGAAGGAGGGGGAAGGAAGGGAGATCCAAATTAGCATACCTTGTACTGTGTGTTTATACAAGCTATGCATTGCTGCCCTTGCCACCTTTTTAAAGATATTTTTTAAAGTGACAACAAAGTACATTCAAAACCAAACATAGCCCAAATCAGTATCTGGTGCCAGTAAGCAAGGCTGTTCCAGCAGCCTTTTGTCTGAGGAAGCAACAGCAAGCAGAACAGCCCTCTCACAAGGCCTTCAGGGAATCATGGAGAAGCAGGTCACTTACCAGAACTGGGTGCAGGTAAAACCATCTACAACAAAGTGAAAACCTGAGCCTGGAATTCTTGCTCTTAGGTGTAACCCAATAGATTTCCCTGGCAATGAACTGAGGCCGGTAGCAATCTCACTCTCCTGTTACCAGTACTCTTGAAGAGCAGTCTCCTGTGTTACAACCTGCAAGTTGACTCGTATTTAGTACAGTATTATTAGATGAAGTAAAAATTTTATGAGCTATTAAATATCATTAGACATCACAGATCTCATATCTACATCACTCTGAAACATCTATTGTCTTAATCAAAACTGTAATACCTGAGTTTTAGATCTTGTATATTCCAGTTCTACATTAATACATAACTAGGTAACCATCATAAGAAATTAACAGCAATGAACTCTCGTTTAGGCCTTTTATTCAGAGAGCATGGTAAGTGCAGCAAGAGATTAAGCAAGCACAGCACTGACAGAACGCAGCCTGGAGAACTGAAACCACACGTATGGCCAACAAATTTATAACTGAAGAAACGCTATTCATTACATGCCGCTTACATTTTTAAGTTGATATTGCACCATCCACCCTGTTAAACTTTAAGCCAAAAGGAATACAATCTATATTAACCAAATAAAATGCAGAAATGCCTCACTCTGTTTCTGCTTGAGAATAAGATATGAAGTTTATGACTTTTATCTTCAGCATTTTTTTTAACCTTAGGCTCAGTTCTTCTATCCACTCAAGGTGTGTCACATGTGAAATCAAAATATCCATATTGAAGACCAAGCTCATAAGCAGTGTTCCTGTCCAAAGGACTAGAACACAGTATTAAACCCCCCTCCCCCCCCAACAATTTCCTCTATTCTAGTTTTATTTCAGGTAAGATCCACTGTATCATACCAGGTATTTTCCATCACTGAAAATTACTTGTGTATCAGAAGTATACTGGAGTATAAAATGACTCCCATAAGCACACCTCCCCCCAAACCCACAATGAAACAAAACAATGACCTTAACACTGATTTGCTGCATATTTGCGATTGCTCTCCAATACAAAGATGTTTTAAGAAAGTAATATTAGAGATGTATTGAGAAGCCCTTGCCTCTTCTCCCAAAGGGCTAAATCAAGGCAGCATTTTTTGACTTATTAGTAAAACTAGTCAAATCAAATTGCAGCTCATGTCCGGATGGTTTTGCCAGCACCCTGATTTCTGAAAAATATGTTAAAATTGAATGACTAGATTTTTCTGTGAAGATTAAAATTCAGGCGGTATACTGAAAGCTGGATATGAAAGCGCAATGCCATCCTGCCTGTCACCAGGAAAGGGTTCTTGCAGGTATGGCATGAATGATGATTTTTCGGTAAAGCTGTTTCTCAAAAAAAGAATGAACACACGAATTGCACGAATGCATGCACATGTTACAATGTGAAATGCAGTTCTTGTTCAAACCGCTTACAGGACTTAACTTTACAAAGAGATGAGCCACCAGCCTATTGAAACTTTCCAAGCAGCTATCCCTCTTTTCAAAGGGACGCAAGGCAGCATATGGATTTTTCATATCATAGGTATTGATGAAGCAAGGGTGCTGTTTGTACAAAATGCCATCAGAGGCCTAAATAGAAAGAAAACCCTCCATCTTACAATTAAATATGCCCTTAAAAAAACCTTAAACACAATAATGCAAAGAAACCAATTTTGCTCTGCTGCTTAATTAGGTCTCCTGCCTGTAGAAGGCCATCACATTATGTTGACCTATGCAATACTTTCATGAAAGAGTCACCTCCAGAGAGGCCGAAAGCCATTTCCATCAGCTGTATCGATGCTGACACTAGAATGGCAATATGTCTAACAAGGAGGAGGAAGGGAGATTTTCTTTTTTTGTGAATGAGCTCACATGTATGTCTCATAAAACTTAGATATTTTCCAAATTATGAAAAAAAAAATCCCCAATCTCTTCTTTCTAATTCAACATTTGAGGCAACATCAAGGATTACAGTGCTTATGTTTTATTCAATTCACATAGAAAAGCATGCAGTATTAATGTAAAATGGTACAGTATTAATGTAAAATGTTCAGTGCACATTAGGTAAACAAGTCATTAGCATACAAACCCATTTTTACTGTCTATACAGGCATATTGAACACATTTCAAATAACAACGCTTTTTGGGAACTAAATTAAAAATTGTGCTTAACTTCAAAAAATACAAGCCATGTTTGCAGTGTTAAAGAGATGTTTTCTAACTGAAGTGTTGTAATCCTGAAAAGAAAAAGGCTGCTGCCTTACACCCACTTAAAACAAGAGTTTCTTATACAGTACAGTGTTATAAAATAGTCCAAGCAGCAACATTTCCTCTGGGAGGCAAGTTTTATGGCAAAACTGACACTGTTTTACAGCAGTTTCATGAATCCATAGGATATATAGCCAGTAGCTGCCTTACATGCACAAAATGTCATATTCAGGAATGGGAAACGTAACCTTTAACACAAATTCTTACATAAATGACTGATTTGACAAGACCACTTGAAACTGTCCTCTTCAAGGGAGCCATTAGCTGTGCTCACAACTGAAAGATCACGTAACCCAAAAACTTAAAAAATCCCACCCAAACCCCTAAAACCCCAAGTAAACAAAATGCCCAGCTGAAGAAAAGAATCTAGAACGGTTCTTCCCGAGGAAAGAACTTGTAATGGGCAAGGGAATGTTCAGTTTTCACACAGTTAAAAAGACAGGATCAGATTGCATTGAAGTCATTAAAAATTAAGTTCACCTGTAAATATTAAACATTTGCAGGCTGACGACTTTGAGTCACGTTCTGTTTCCACGCAGAGTCAGTTTTTGGTGGTTTTTGACGGACTAGCACTGGAAAGGCTGCTTTGAATTTTCCTCTTGGTCGACTGACTGACATTTTTATTTTTCCTTTGAGCTATAAAGGATGACACCCAAGGAGGACTCAGCTGATTGTGCAGGTCAGATGACATCTTTAAAAAGCAGGAACCGAACTTTTGTTCCTCAAACAACCTTTGTGAGCTACTGAATAGTAAACTCTGTGAAAAGTCTCTTTGAAATAAAGAGTTTGGAGGTTTGATATCACTAGCTACTACGTTTTGGCCTCTAAACAGTGGAAAGTGGTCATTCATATCCAGCTCAGTTGGGGAGTGGACAGAAAACATAGCAGGTTTCCAGCCGGCTCTATCAGTCGTTAGATTGCTTGTCTCCGAACACTTCATATTCTGTTCCTCATTCATGTCTTCCAGTTTCTTCTCAGTTTCATTCAGAAGCTTAGAGCACTCTGCTGACTTTGAAGAATTATCAAGATCGGAGGACTTGAAATTATAGCATGGACTCTTGCTGTTGTCCGATTCGGACATCATTGAGTCCAACTCGGAAATTTTATCGAGGTATGCAGCATCCATAGATGCCTCACTGGAGGTTCTTGTGCGATTCGTTTCAGAAGAGCAGAGAGTATGTAACCTTTTAGGTAAGCAGGAACTTGTTTTATCACTGGACTTTGCTGATGTCTCATCTGACTGACCAGCTACCGAATTTTGCTCTGATTCATCAAAATCTAAGTTATCAGCAAAATTTGCTGAGCAGGTCCCCCAAAAACCTGATTTTCCCGTAGTAAAACAGTTCGCCTTCTTTTCGCTATTACAGCTGCTTGTGTTGTGCTCTGGAGAATCTTTGCTGCAGTCATCTGAAGTGTCACAAAACTCTTCAAATTTCAGTTTTCTCAGGAAAGTTGATGGTTTCCTTGCATTCTCTTTTCCATCAGGAGTGTTCAACTGAAGGCGACTGAGGGACAGAAAAGGAGTGCATGGTGGTGGAAGATCATAAAGTTCTTCATCCTTATATGGGCTACATTCCTCAATTTTATTCCACTGCTCTTCTAAGCAGGCATCCATATTTGTCGTATTTTCATCCAGGAGAACCCCCTGACATCCTGGAAACAGTTCTTTCTTTGGGGCACACTGGGTACTTGAGCCATTTGAACTGTTTTGACTGGAAGACCTTAAACAAGTTCCACCACTTGTCAGCTGTTCAAGACTGTCAGGACTTTGACTGGCAGTCAGAGCTTTTTTCTCCTCAACTTGGGTTTTCAAACATGTCGTATCTTCACCGCTCTCAGCTCCTTCAGGATCTGTGGAAAGCACTCTCTCAGTAACCGTACTCACTGTCTGGGTTCCTTCGCCTGCATTTTTCAGCTGTAAAAGCTGACACTCAATTTCTTCTATGTATTTATCACTTCTTTCCAGTGCCTTTTTTAGACGGTTCATTTCACGTTCACTTTGTTCTACTTTGGACTGAAGGGCAGCTACTGTAAACCTAGCAAACCTGTAAGAAGTAAAAAAGAAAGAAAATATTAATCTGGAAAAAGACATTCTTGTGGTGTTTTGAGAGCTCATTTCAAGAAAGAACAAAGCTATTAAGCACTGTGTTAATTTGAAAACAAAAGTCAGAACTTCGCTCTGCTAGTTATGAAAAAGAATAAATCATCATATATAATGTACAGGTGGAGCTGAAGACCTGAAAAGCGAAAATTAAACTATTAGTGGTACTAAGGCAATAACAAGCAGATTACCCTTTCAGGGGCTGCTTCTATCAATTCAACTCAAATATGCATGAAGAATTATCCCCTAAAACAATGGCAAAGATTTACAATAACATTTGAACAGTGGTCCACATCTTGAAATATTTACATTCAATCATTTTCCTACAGTACAGCAGTGTTTTACAATACATTTTTTTTACACAATGTCACCTTGCTCCATATAAAATGCCAATATGAAATTCAGAAATTGCAATAGTTCTTTGAGGTGGTTTAAATACTTATACAGACCATTTCAATTATGTTCCTGTTAGATATACAGCTTTTCCTTGGCCATTGTGTGGATGGTATTTCCACTTAATTCAGACACTACTCATTCTTTTGAGCTTTACAATCGGAACAATCTAGTTTCTTCCTTGACTCCAATACAAAAAACCTGTCACTTGTGGCTTGTGAAAGTTGTGTGTTCATGGGGCTTTCAGCTTGAGCACATTTTCAACTGCCAAGATATGGACGTGCCTTCCCCCCCCATCCTCCATCAGCTTTCAAGACTGACCTTCCCCAGAGTGTAGGTGAAGGTTTCAGCTACATGCCCTGACTAATTCTAACCTGTCACTGACAGGTGGGCACCAGGGAATTCCCTGCTCCATCTGCAGCTTTCAATTTACAGAAAGAAAGAACAATTAAAGTTCTAGTATTATTAGGAAGGAGGGAAGGACCTGCAGCTACCCTACAACTCTGACACATAAGAGATGTGACAAAGAAATGACAATTCTGTATGTAGGCTTACAGTAACCTCTGCTTTCCACCTTGCAGCTCCATGTTACAGCACAAGTTTACATTCACTCTTCTAGGAACAAACACTGCCCGGAATTTCCACCTTGTTTCTTTGTCTGCCTGTCCCTCCTTCAGCATCTTTCAGAGTCCCAGGGAATTCCCATTCCATTTTCCCCACTCCATTCCCTTACCCCTTTTCAAAATGCTCCCACAGCAACCCTTAGACCAGTGAGGTCTGAAGGCGGTATATCTGTGGCCTGTGACTATGCTGGCAAAACATCCATGGATCTGTGCATGCATTTCCAGCAAAAAAACGAACTGCATTTTGTTTCTTCAGTTTCTGAGCCCAAAGCAGTAGGAAACTGCTCTATGCTGACAACTGCAATATGGTTAGGTGGGTAGTCGGGGAAAGGAATAAGAGGTATCACAAGCCCCAAACAAGTTGGGCACAAGCGACCAGATCTACTGACTTATTTCACTGTTCAACTGCTTCTGTATATTTGAAGGACTTTGAAGATTTTGGTATAGATGGTTCAGTTGTCAGGAAGATTCACACAACAGTCTGAGTCAGTTCTTTCACAGAACTGCTACTGGACTACTTTTTAAATCAGATCAGCCTAAGCTCCACAGTTTTGGTATGTGCCACTCACTGCTTTGTAGACACAATATGGCAAGGTAGCAGTTTTATATTTAGAACAGGACTGTTCACTTACTAAGATATTTTTCCCCCCTAAAAGAAGCTGACTGGATTGGAACTCTATCGAGGTAAGGACCCCCCACCTCCACATTACCTTTACCCAATTACCTTTGTCTTCATAAAAATGATTTTTTAATTTGCTTACTCTATGGGTAACAAGTTTTCTCAATTGACTATAGCAATTTCTCCATTTCTGGTTGCATGCAAGAGGGACATGGGAGAAAGTTGCATAAGACTTCCTCCCTCTCCCCTATGAAACTAGACAACAGCAGAATCAGAGACAGCTCAGGAATGTTTCAATTATATTTTCAGATGACGGGAGTTACAGTGAAATAAGCAACCTCATATACAACACATTTTGGTTTATTCCCTCCTTCAATAAAAGGAACTCAGATTTTTGGTTTAAGATACTGAAGGAGTCACTGTAGCACAGCAGGGCCCAAGCAAGACCCTTCCTGCTTCCTAGGGTGATTCAAAAGTACTTAATTTTGCCTTTCTTGAAAAGATCAGCTCACGCAGCCTTACAGGAGCAAACCTTATACTGCTTAATAAATGATATAAAAATGATGCAAAAATACAATTTAGCTTAACAGTGAAGTGAGAGATGGGGAAAAATGTTTATGTAAATTAAGCAAGATTTTCTGAGGTCTGCTATAACAGACATTTTGACATAAAAATTAAACATGTTTACATTTATATGTATACCTGGCAATTCCTTTTTAATGGAAGAATGGTGTAATATGTTTATTTAATGCAAACAGCATTAGTGACAGCCTCAGATTTGCTTATGAGGAAGAAGCACTGTATTCTTTCTTAAGTGCAACTTTTATAACAAGTGTCCTCAGTTTAAAAAAAAATAAAACAGTATGTCATTCAAAGCCAAATAGCATCACTAATATGTTAATTGTTGTAGAGGGATGTGCTTGGAAATTTTGGTTTTCAGAAATGGAGCATCTGACATGCTGCCTACAAACAGCTACCTCTGCAGTTAAGCACCAGAACAGTAGTTGCTTGCTGATCCCGCTTTGAGGCTTGCATGCATTTATTTCCCAAATTTTCAAGGACACGGGTTTTTTAACATGGCCATATTATTTAAACCAATTACTCTAGACCAGAACATGATATAGGTGTTTTAGTTGCTGATCTGGCAGGTCAGCAGACAGTTTAAAAGACATGCATATTGTGGTTAAAGCCAGAACCCTCCCCATCTCCCCAAACCAAACCACTCCAAGATATCTCTTCTTTTCCTTTCAGATGTACAGTGAGCTGTGTCACAGCCAAAAAGTTATGATCTGATGATAATAGGTAGAATGCAGTACAGTTACATGAAAATAAATTGAAGTTTGGCCTGACACACTAGATAAATTATTTTTCCTGAAGTATTTGAACCACTTCAGACTTGGTAACCATTTGATACACTCTTCAGCAGAAGTCAAGTTATTCAGTACGTATGTGGTAAAGAGCACTTTTCATATCCTCATACATGGACGAAGTCTTTTCAGTGTTAGGGTATTGTTCTTCAGTTGTATCACTTAAACAATGAAAACATATTTGTATCTCACCGTATTTGTTTCAAGTACATCCTCTTTATAGAAAACTGAAAGTCCAGAGAAACTAGTTGTCGCTCATAAAGTGAATAGAAAGACATTTCAGGTGGGATTTGGATCCTTTGATGAAGACACCTTGATAACAGTTTAGATGGCTGAAGGTCTTTTACACAACAACTGCTGGCATCCAGCTATCACTCTGGAAGGATACAGGTCTCCTATAGGTCCTGTATCACAGCTACCAGCCCCAGGCAGGTGTACTGGATATGTTATAGTGTCTGAGGTGACACTAGATGTCTAGATGAGCACTTGAACCCCATATTTCAGGGCCTTTCCTCAGTTAAGAGTCCTTCTTGTCCTAGCATTATTCTAACCTGACACCAATCAGAAAGCTGCAGTCAGCTCTCATCTACAGTGAGCAAGAAGAACTAACATTATAGCTACAGTGTTTGAGTAACCCTCTTTCACATTATGCCACAACTGCTCCCTCAGTCATGTTCGAGTACTCCTGAAGAATTGGAAACTGTTTGGGAAGTTTGATAGTTTCTCACCCACAAGAGAACAAATTTCTTTGGTTGTTTCTTCTCTTATCTATCAGTTCTGCAAATTCAGTGTTAGGGTTTTATTTTCACACATCAGTGACCACTGACTGTAGCAGGTCTGTCTGGTTAAGCCCTTAACTCATATCAACTCAGTTTAAAACCAGCCAACCTCATACAAACATTTCTCTTTATGGACAGAAAGCAGCTGCAGCAAACAGTTTTCCTGTATAACCAGTTAGAGAAGACTGTGGCTGCAAGGATGCCATGGAAAATGACTCTCTAGTTCTAATCACCTGATGGCCCAGACAGGGGACCACTCTGTGGCTCAGATACATGAGCATGATCCATCCTCCAAAGGAAACAAAGAATGAGAAGTGAGAAACGGCAACGTACAGTCAGGGCTTGTCACAGTTTGAAATCAGGGCAATGCCAGAATGCACAACCAAATCCAGCCCCATCATTTAGATATACATTGTCACTTTGGTTCTGCAGTTAGATAGGAAGAAAGATGTAAGAAATCCAAGAACAAAACAGCTGAAAGCACTACTAGTTTCTACAGCTTTTCTATTATATAACGTACCAGATGCAGCTGGATAAGTTCTGCAATCATCCTCTACATCAACTAAGAAGGCAATCTGCAGCAACATCTTGACAATATCCTGGGTTGTATACAATTGCCTTTAAAGTGTGTCATGTTTGCACAGGCATGTTTAAGAAGAAAAAACACTTACTGTCAGATGGGGGCCTTTCCCTAGCAAGCAAGAAAAAACAAAGTCAAGAAATATACCTCAAGCACGTTGCTTTATTAATCAGTAACTAAATTTGGTTCAAATAAAGAAAAAGTCTTGCTAATAGCCTACTACTGCTCCCCATTCTGCAGACTGGGCTGGCTGACAGAATCATAGAATGGTTTGGGTTGGAAGATACCTTAAAGATCACCTAGTTCCAACCCCCCTGCCATGGAGAAGAAAGTGTACAACTGCTCCTTCTTGAAAGAAGCAGTAGAAACACTTGCTATATATAATTTTCTAAGCCTATAAAAGAACAAGTTGTTTTCAATATAAGCAAATACTGTGCAGTAAATCGCCTCCATCACACAGTTCATAGAGTACAAACCAATCTGAAGACACATGGCCTTCATCATGAAATCTCTCCTGAGCATCAGGGAAATCCACTTCCTTGACATCACATGAATAAAGCTAAGTTTTACTGCTTGTTGAATGACTGTAGAGCAGGGTTTGAACAGAAGAACAGCCAAGGTACATTCTTTGAAAAGAGGTTCTCCTTTCACTTAGGGGATTGGGTGAATTCACAAATGTGCAAAGCCTCTCCAAGCATTTTAACATCTCTTCTGTGAAGCAGCACTGGTCTTCCACATAGGAAAGCCAGATTATACCTGAGGTCGGTGAATAGCATAAGACAGAAAGGATTACTTCAGAATTATTACAAAAAAAACATCAGAAACACCACAAAACCAAGCAGTGAGATCTGAATGTCCTTACCTATCTGATTAAAGTTTAGATCTTCATGCCTGGACTGGGTGCTTTCTCAGGGTTTTATGCTACGATTCAAGAACTCAACGACTGTCTTGAAGGCTACTAAATAGCATTTTCTCCTATTTACTTTTAAGGCCACACTGCAGCTAGTTTTTGAAGATGGTAACTGCTCTGCAACAGCAAGCTTGCAGGGAGGTGAAAAAGCAGCACAGTTTTCTATCAACGAAGATAGCAGCGTTCTTAGCCTCTGCACCCTGGACACAGGTTACTATAAGCCTAACCGTAAACTCCGTGAAATGTGGACTGAATTAAATAGTCTGGCATGAGTGGAAATATTTGAGTTAGATAAAAACTGAATGTTGTACAGAATGACCTAGAAAGTCAACAGCCTTAGATATCAGTGTGCAGGTATCCAAAGTCACAAATCTAGACAAGATAAACAGTAAAACTAGAGAAAGAGAAAAAAACCCACCCCTCAAAACAGTAACAATAAACCAACTCACAAAACCAGAGAAAAAAAGATAATGCAACAATTTTGTGCATGTTACAGATAGTTTTTCAGACTGGGATTTTAACTGGCAGAAGAAATTAAATATTTAGGGAAAAGGCTCCTAGGAAGCCTAGAAGTCTGGTTCAAGCTAATTTGAATCTAACCATTCATAAAATACACTATACCCTGGAGTAGATGGACTTGCTAGTTATTTTTCCTTCAGGTAAAAAGCAAACATCCCTTTGCCAAAAATGCTTTTAGATCCATTGTGCCTTGCCAATAGACCTAACAGTTTTCTATTTTAAGTAGAGCTGGAAGTAGCAGGGCTTTATCATCCTGCAAAACTTAATTTTTAGAAGTCTTCCTGTTCTGTATCGGGAAAATGGAAGTCACTGAAAATTCCTCAGGAGAAAGAGAAAACAAAGAACAAGCAACAACCACCAAACACTCAGTCTGATTTGCCTGAGAAATGAGATATTAACACAGGTCTTTGTTAAGAATCCCAGCAAGAAACTTGCCTCTATTTGCTTTTCAGACCTATGTCCCAACTGTATGATTGTATGATATTCTGTTGAAGGTCTACTCTCAAAAGTGTTTAATGAAAAAAAAAATAAATCTAATCAATCAGCATCATCAATTAAAAAATTGTGTAAAAATCCCTGACATGGCTGGAATGTCAATTTTATTGACATACATGACATTTTTCAGCAGGTTTTAATGGACACGAACAAGGAAAAAAACTCAAGACTATAATAAAAGGAAAGTTTTTTATTGACCACTGAAGAGGGATAATTACATTTTTCCTGTGACGTCAGAGATAGATTCTGTGTTACAAAGGGATAATTTACCTGCCATCAGCGTTTCCTTTGCTATAAAGCAAAGCCTACTAAAATAATTTAGGTTATAATATTCAGATCCAGTGTCATTATGCTTGGGATAAGGGGACTGAATACTGACAAATCCTTTTGAAAATAATTTGATACAGGTTTTAGTTAGTTACCTAGCCAGTTGTTTAAGCATTAAACCATACCTGACAATCTGAACCTAAGAAATATATGACAAATGAAACAATGGTGGTGACACTAAATTACAAAGATCCAATCTGGTAGCTATTTTAAATTGCACTAGAAAGCCATTCAGAAACTTTTTCCAAAAATTACCTTCTGAACAATTCTGAATAAAGTACACTGAAACAACTGCACTGGCAAATCAGTGTACCTGCACAGAAAAGTTTAATTATAGTGACACTGTTGGGCTCTGATGCTTATGCCTTCAATTCTGATTTCATAAGCAAGGTAAGAAAACAGCTGTTGCAACCCTGGTCCAGTGTGTAAAGCCTAGTTAAAAGCCCTTTTAGATATTATCAAAGTTTGCCATCAGAACTGGAAGGACATTTTAAAAATGTCTTGATGTTAGGTCTGGTCTAGATATTGACCAGACTAATGACTACAAGGGTGAAAGTTAATTTATAAAATCTGCTAACAACACTAAGACAGGTGAGACTTCCTACCACCTGAAGGACGTGACTGCAATTCAAAAGAATTGTTTTAAGTTTGACATGTGGATCAAAACATTAACCTGAAGAGAACCAATAAACGGGTAAAGTCCTACACTTTGGAAGGGGACATTAGCAGCACAAATGCAAAATGAGGTAGGAAGTAACTTTCTAAGTAGCTATTTAGCAGAACTGGTACTGGCCAGTTGCACTAAAGTACCAGACAAAACAAAACAACATAAAGGGTACTGTAAGATAAGACGCTGCAGCAAGACACAAGGCACATTTTCTGGTCTCTTTAGTGCTACTGGGGCTTTATTTGGAATCTAGTATCCTGTCCTAAGCATTATTGCTTAAAAAAACCCATGGACATTGGAGAGCCCTGAGAGTACAACAAAACCAAGTAAAGAGAAAAAGTAAACTTCTGATTAAGTCATGCTTACCTAGAAGAATTGGAAAAATTCTGTCTAGAAGACATGACTAGGACTGAATGTACAGGTAGGGTGAGTCAAAACTGCTAAATTTAAGGTGCAGAAGGGTTTCTTCCAGGACAAATTTTTCCTTGCATATACTTAAATTCTTGTAGTACACCACTTGGGCTCAAAGTAAAACCAAAGCTGAAGATAGCACAAGCAGGGTACAGACATGCAAGTGTCTACACACCTGAAGTGTTTGAACTGTTCCTGGCCCATTTTAGGCCTGATTCAACTCACGTGCTCAATTCCCATGCACAGTTCTAGAGTTAGCATGGGCCAAAGATCATTCCCAACAGGCAGGTAGGACACGATTATTCGTTCTGGAGACTGAAAAAAGCAGTTTAATAGTAGAGACACAGATAGGACAACCTATCTGGCATCTGGGTTGCAAAACAGACCTTTACACTGTCCAATTTCTAAAAACATCTGTCTATGTCAGTGCTTCTACAGAAGAAAGTGACTGGCTATTGTTTCAGGCCACACTGGCAAAAGATGGGAAAATTATCAGCTTGCAACAAAGACTACTTCTTCACCCACGCCATCCCCTGCCTCCAATATCTAATTTTTCTGACCAACAGGATGATAAAGCACGCACATGCTAGAAGAAATGGAAATTCTCTACACTGGGCAGCTTACCTGACATCAGTAAAGTAAAATGAAGTTATATGATCTGGTCTTTTCTAGGATTTATTGAGTTACATCTATGTACTTTTCAAGTTTGCCATCCTTGCTAACTCACTCTCCAATCTTATAGGCAAAGATATTCCATGCCATCAAAGCCCTCTCCATTGCCAAGACCTTAAAAAGGGCTCTATCTCCCTTATTAGGGGACTTCAAGGCAGAATGTACTTTTATGCATTTAACAGCATAGCAAAAGGATCATGCATCGTCTTTCTTGTGGTCTTGAATGACAAGCAGTCTGGCAAGCAAGCTCTCTATAAGGATAAATTTTATCTTTCAGCAAGTGAGCTGTGAACTAGAACAAAATCCAGAGAGCTCTCTTCACACGTTACACAGGTAGCCCTCATCCCCCTTCTTCAAAAGCACCATATAAACCTTCGGCTAATACTGCTCTTAGCTTTCTAAATTCTAAACTAATGACAGACAAAAGGTAGAAAACCAATGACAGAAAGGAACACAACCTTAAAAATATGCACATGTTGCTTCACAAAGTACTTTCAAGGACCTACCTTAGCATACAGCTGTAATCAGTATGGCAAATTTTTTGCTTTTTTAATGTTGTAACTGTTTTTGATGTTTTAACTGTTTTAAGACAGAGTATTAAACATAGGTGTCAGTTCTCTGAATGAGGTTCTCATGCTGCAGAAACTCAGTTCTACATATCCTGCCCAGAGACAAAGCTACCAGGGACTGTCCCTAAATAGGGAGTCTAAGTCCACAGAACAAATCCTGAAGGCAGCAAATGGAAGAACAAAACAAAACCAAATACAACCAACCAGAACCTCTGCACTCAGTAACAGACCTTCTACTTTGACCATATACCTGACTTAGAAATTTCCCAACAACAAATATAAGTTAACTGCAGAATTCAACTAATAAATCCAGTCCTTCAGTATTGGCCACGTGACGCAAGGAATAGCACTACTAGTTATGTCATATTCCTTCACTGTAGACTTGCTGCTATTCTGTTAGTTGCATTTGTCACCCAAGTCTATGAAGATAAAAATTCCGAAGTCTACCTGGAGACACATATGCAACACCATGTATACCACCACAGTTTTAGGTTAAAGTCCTACAACAGTCAAACAGTCTATAAATAAAATATGGTAGCTTTTAAAATATTCACATACTTTTGGGGTGATCTACTATCAACTTCAGCTTTTAGTCGCATATTCTCTCTTAAAAGGCTATTGTTTTCCATGCTCAGTTTCTAGATTGCCTAAGGAAAAGAAAAAGAAAAAGAAAAAAATAAGTACACAGTAAATCAGAAATGACTTCTAATATTTATAGGACAAGCTGTTTCTCCTTTTTAAAGAGACAGAACTAGAAATGTGAAGGCAGGAAACAGCCTTCAGACAGGGACACCACTTAAAAATCACCATGGGAAATGGCTTGCAAAACTGAATAGCGAACAGACATTTTTTATTTATATTCCCAAAACACATCGCAAGTGTCCTATCTAGGGAAATAAACTCAGCCATGTTAGTTAGTACAGAAAGTCATTACGGAGATGTACTAATGGCAATTCCATGTTTTTTTTTTTTTTTTTTTCCACATGACTAAATATGTTAAGTACATTAACATTACAATGTGCAGGTATCAGCAAAACTAATGTTGAACAGCTTCCTCCATTCCAAATTAGAGTAAGATTACTTTGGTTTTTTTGGCTTGTTGTTTTTAAAGCATAGTTATCCTATGGATGTAAATCCATTACAGCAAGCTATTTGCAGTCTTTCTTCACTTTCTTCCAGGATGTTGTGATTAAGACTCCTGATTCACAGCTTTCCTTACTCCTTGAATTGAGGTCAATTCCTTCTCCATTCAGCAGACACTCTTGTTAACAAGACACTTCATATAAAGAGAAGTTTTCTTGCTGCTGTGTTTCAGAACAATGAATGCCACCATCCTAACAAGTAGAAAATACGCTTTGTGCTTCACACTCTGCTCAATCTCTGTACGGTGAAAACAGCACCACCAGTCCAGGACTCATAATTCATAGCCTCAATTAGATGATGTTTCCACTGCATAATAAAAGTATGATCTAGAGTTAGATCCAAAGAAGGAGCTATGCAACTGGGCTCAGGAATGAAATGTACATTTTCAGAAGCATCAAACAGTGCAGTAAGAGAGGCAGAAAACTCTAAATGCTTTATACAAATATCCCCAGCAACTTCTCCAGGTGAGGCTGAGACAGTGGGGGGCAGGGGGAATGGAGAAGTAAAAAAAACCAACCCAAACATTCCCCCCCCACCCTCGCCCGGTATTCTTAGGGGCAGGAAGGGTAAAGAATACATTCCTTCTGGTAAAGAAGGAATGGGAAGGCTGAGCCCAGGGCTTGGATGTCCGAGTATTTGATATTTAAAAAATAAAAGCACAAAAAACTACACTGAAAGCAATGAGTAAGAATCCAGGACACCTCACTTCCAAAGGAACACCAAACCATTTGACAACATGGCCAAGACCTTTCTCTCCTTCCAAAGACACAGCTTCCCCATCCACACAATCAAACAGAAAATTGCATGACTTGCATCAAGTTGGTAGGTAGGGCATCCACCTGGCACATGGTAAGGCAGGACTGAACCTCTCGGATATCCTTCTTACAGAGAGCGCTCTACCCTCCAAACCAGTATCTGCAAGGGATCCCCACTTGCAGCACAAGGCCTAGATTAATGAGTTCATGTAACCGCATTATTAATGAGTGTACTTTGTCTAGTATTTCTACTACTGGGTTTTCATCACCACTTCTGCACTCATTATGACTCCACTCAAAGTCATAATGCCTACTTTGGGAGTCTCTGCTGTAGGACATCAAATGATAAAGGTGGCTGCTACTTCCTGTCTCAGTCTGATTTTAAAAAGAAAACAACCACGTTTTCTGAGGGACTCTGTCTCACTGGGAAGCGATGGGTGGTTGAAGCTACTGGGTCAGGTACTTTAGGGAATAAGATGGTTTCTGGTGTTCAGGGGAAAGAGATCTTGCTTTTCAGACTGGGGTTGGTCAGTGCAGGCTCAGAAGCAAAACAAGGACTAAAAGAAGAGACAAGTGATTTTAGGTACTTCTGGAATTGAGCAGCTGTTGAACAGGGAACAGATGGGTAGAGAGTGCCTGGATCACAGTTTAAGACTTGGTCCCTAAAACCCATTTAAACCTCTATTCATATCTGACCCTTAACCAAATTCAGAGACTCCATGAACTTAAAACCCTTTTCTTGCTAAGGTTGAAATCATACTGAAAAAAACCCCAAACATACCCCTCTCTCACTCCCTGCCATATTCTTTTTACTCACATAGGGAAAAAGTTAAAAACCTTAGTCACCACAAAAAAAAAAGAGGCAGTACAATTCAACTCAATGGGGAAAAAAAAATGAGGCAGACAAGAACTTGCTGTGAATCCCCTCTTGCCAAAAACAGGTGACTCTGAAGCTCCTGGGATCCTCTTAGGAGGGCAGAACATGTGTCTCAGCCTGTAAAGTTGAAGTCTGAGCCTACCAAGCTACTGAAAAAACTAATTTTGGAATCTCAGTTTATTCCTTTTAGTGTTTATCACACAGTCCGATCAGGGTCACACTTCGCTTTAGACTACACAGAGGCAAAACTAGTAGTGTCCCACTAACAACAGAATGGCAGAACAGTATAATGTGGGCCTTTCAGTCTGTAGCACAGGAAAAGTGTAAACACTATTAATGCTTACAAAGGAAAAAGTATCCCAAACACATAACACTTCAGTTTTGCAGGAGGCAACCCAGGATTGTTAATAGAAGAACCAAAGGCAGCATTTTGAATAAATGCATGTCCAGTTCTTTCTACCTTCCGTTTCAAGCTAATATTGAAATTTCATCTTCAACGCTTGAGGTGATTCTTCTCGTGCCAGTAGGTAGATTTTACAAGATATTTTTATTTAGATGTATCTTCACATGACTATTCCTTCACCCCTCCTTCTGCAATATCAAGTTTTATTTTGTTTTACATTCAAGATGCATAAAAAACCTGCAGGTTTCCAGTAAAGGAGCTTCTGGTCATAAAATGCTGAAGCTTGTCTATTTTCAGTCAAAGGGTCAAGTTACTCTGTCTCAGCAAATAGCACCAAAAATATCGGCTAGCAGGGAGGGCAATAGTGCAAAATCTGCCTCAGCCAACTGTACTGTGTTTGGCCACTGAATGTTGTAAAATAGATATATTACATAGATTATTGCAAGCCTGAAAAATCTGGTCATCAATACTGGTGACAAGTCCTACTATAATCCAATTACCCAGTCATAGAGTGACAGAGGAGTTGAAGAAGAGTCACATACAAGACTCACTAGAACAAGCAATAACATCTGACACTTGCAAAGGCTATATGGAAATACTATGATACACCAACAGCCAGTGGAATTCAATTTTTTCCGCTTTCTCATGGATCTATGAAGTACCCAGAGGTCATGCTAGCTCTCACTCCCATTTAACTAACGTGAAACAGTTACGCTACGAGATAGCTGAAGAAATGCATTTATTACCTCCTTTAACTTTTCAACATTATCCACTACTTTTTCATATAGATCATTGGCAACTTTCAGCTTTTTGCTCCATTCCTCTGGGGTTTCTGGGCCACTGGTACTTGCTTCATCTGCTGACTGGCTAGTTTCTTCATTTTGGCAAGACAAAGCTGATGCCGTAGGATCCAGAAGAGATTTCAGTTGTGTCTGTAAACTGAGATTTTTACCTCTCAGATCTTCCACTTCTTTTTGCAGGGATTCTATTTCATCCTAAAGGTGTCAGAAATTAATAGAAATTAAAATAATGTGTAAGATTAATTAAAAAATACTGGCAAGTTCCCACAGCATTACATAAACATTGGTTCTGGCAAGCCCAGATGCATGTACTCACTTACACATATATCTAAGCATGCTTATGTATTGTGCTCTAGGCAGGATTTTAATCAACCTGCACACTCAAGCACAGTGAAGGTTTTAGTGAAGTGAATCCCTCGACTACACAGAGGACCCTGAACAAACTGGCAGGCAGACCAAAAGCTTCAAAGCATTCAACAACATGAATCTCTTATTAGGGCACTCTGTGGGAAGATTTCATGTATCAAGAGTGTTCCTAAGGTTGTCCTCTGTTGACTCATTTGCTGTTATTTGAGAATGTTTCTCTCATATCATTCTGAAACATCACATGTTCAGATGTTGAAATTCTCAAGATTCAAAATGGACAGAACACTGCCTGGAAGAGGCTGCTCCAGCTACACAAAAGTAGCACCATCTTAGAAAAGGCTCTCAAAATATAAAGAGCAAAGCTCTCAGCTGTATCAGTCTGAAGCCACAGAGAAGCAAAAACCTTCAAAAGCCTGTTGTTAAAGAGGTAAATAATTTATCCTGAAACATGTCTTCTACACTGTTCACCAACTTAAATACTTGAGTTGCTCAAGGTTATATTACTAAAGGAGGCCTTATGGCATTTACCTAAATCCAAGGCATATCTGCACGAATAATCAAGCTTCACCATCCCCTGCCCAGCATGAGAACAACCATTTAATTTTTTTTTTTTTTTTGAGCAGCTTTACGTTATCCTATGCCTATCTGTGTGACTTTGGAGCTGACTCCTTGTCTTGACTCCTTCTTTCATATAGGGTGAAAGAAGCTGAGCTACAGGCAAGCTGATAAAAGACAGCCCTCACTTCCTCAGTGTCCGTTTCCTTTCTCACATTTTCCTCTCTGTGAGACATGTTTCCTTGCAAAACGTGCAGTGTCTTCACACTGCTGCTGCTAAGGAAACAACAGCTGAGAAAACAAACTAAGCATATTCCTTATTAACATCTTCACACCTTGTTCCTAAAATATTTTTTCCAGCAGGAGAGTGGAGACAAACTTCAAAGCATTCACTCACTTTCAGAAAACAATAAAGCAACAATGACAAAAATTAACTTATGCCATAAGGTTACAGTGCTCAATATTCTTTAAGAAGGAATTTAGTGTCCCTGAGCAACAGGGAATTACTTCAGAAAATGTTTGCATTTGTATCGAAGACAAAACAAAAAGCCCCCCAACATGCAATATGCATAAAGAAAACCCTCCCATACCACCTGGTAGTGGAACTCCCACAAAACTATCGAATTGGCTGTGCTTGACTACCTGCAGTGTAGAAAGAACATTACCATGACTTCAAGCATGACAACTTCAAGCACCAGCAAATGCTCTCTCGGAACCTTAGCCAGAAGGAGAGATTAATGCAACTGAGTTTCATCCAGATTCAGTATAAACCTTTACTCAAAACCAACATGACTCAAAGGAAAAGGGACAGCTGTGTGCAGTAATTTAACAGTTGTAGTTCATCTGGAAAGTCGCAACACTCTCCATGTCCTTACCTCATATTCTTTGTGGAGCAATTCAAGCCTTGTTTTACGCAAGTGTTTTCTGACTGTTGGACTAAACATAGGATCACTTTCACTCGTTCCTCCTAAAGCAGCACAGGATGAAAGAACCACTAAGATTGCTTCGTTTTCAGTCAATTCAAAACTAACAATCCGCCTTGTAGCGCTTCTCATATTATCAAATACAGCTAATATTGGACCAATCTACTACACCATGGGCGATGTAAAGTCCTTTCATTTTCAGAACAGGTTAAACAGGAGTATCTATTAGTGATGTTTAGAAGTCAATATCCTGCCTCACACCAGAAAGACAACTTTAGAATTTTTCAACTCTGTATTTTCCTTGACAGAATCCTATCTTATTTAAAACCATACTATTAAAACAGAGCTGAGAGTGGGTGGGAGGGGTGGGAATCAAGCGTAGCACAGGATAGTGTAAGTTTCCAAAGGGGAATTGTTCAGATATAATTTTCAGTCAGAATCAGATAGCACAGACAGCATTTTATATCAAATAAAGATCGCAGTGTTTCCTCGCTCTGGGGAAGTTCAGATCCTCATTCAGACACTGGAGCTTTGTCTTATTTCTGTGCTAAGAGGCATTTTCTTAAAAATAAAGCAAAAGGGAGGAAATAGTGAACAAAACAAACCAACCAACCATAAAAAGACCACATACTCATTCAAGATTCTGGATTTAAGTACACTACTTCTCAGTTAAATGCTATTCTCTTAGGTCAACAGGTTGCAACGTATAGGTAGAGTTCTTCAAGTGAGATGCATTTTTTCCAGTTAAAGCCACCATTCAACCAAGACTTAAAAAAACAACCATCAGAGCTGCTGAGTGCTTGCTGCCTTTGATTTATCTAGCCATTAATACGTATATAATCTTCAGAATTTTTACCTTGTAGCTATTATATATGCTTCCAGAAAGAGTTAAAGTTAGATCTTCCTTAGATGCTGATAAAAAACACAGAGGAAAAAATATCCAGATAACTTTGGACTCAAAATAATCTCCTTCAGCAGTAAATAACAGAAAGTTATTTCAAAGCCTGAAGTTGTCCTTACCTATTATTTCCTTGCAAGGATTTTCAGGTGTGATGGGAATCCTGCAAGCTGGGCACTGATTATTGTTCTTCAGCCACACTTCAATACAAATGGAACAGAAGACATGATTGTTGACACAGATGACCGGGTGACGGACCTTGTAATATTAAGCGGGAAAAAAAAAAAGAAAACAAACAGAAAGACACTATGAATACTTTAAAACTCTTTCAGGTAACAGACTATGAAAATACACTACTCCATCTGCCAGTGCAAGTCTGGTCTTGCAGGAAAGAGACACTGTTGTTTCACAGGGCTAGCTAGGAGTGACCTCCCAACTCTCAACACCAAACTTCCCTATTATTGAAGACACCAAAGCTATAACCATTTTTGCAAACCTAAGGTCATTGATTCCAAGAGCTCAATAATACACAGTGTGGCAGGCACCCCTTCCTCCACCCCACAACCTCCAAGAACTGCAGCCAACCACTCCAGTGAAATGCATTTGCCTCCCTAGGTAGAAGGAGACTAAAAGAAACACATTAACTGATTTCCAAATGTGAGGGAATAAGGGATTGCTCCTGGTAACAACCAACACTTTACCTTGGAAGAGGTGTCACTAAAAAGGATAGTGTTACAGATTAACTCTAGCCTGCACATAATCAGCTTCATGGAAATCAGCTTTAAAAAGGGTAACAGCCAAAACCACAGGGCAGAAACATGAACCAGCAATCACTAATTCAGGCGTCCCACTAGATATGCATAGCTACTAAATAAGTCATTACCCAATAATGGGCAGCTAACTGAAGGATTAAATATTCCAATCAGATCCCTTCAAGAAGCTTTCCCTCCCCTCCCAAAACAGCAGGATAAACATACTTTTAGAAAATATTACTGACAGTGCATTATTCTCTCATCATTTAACTATAAACCCTGTTTCAAAGTAAGTGTGCATAGAGGGACCAAAAATGATACAGAAGAAAAAAAACTTTCCCCTATATCTACGCCTTACTGCCGCTTCTGTTACAGCTTACCGTAATATACACTCTCAAATCTCTTAAGACTTAACACTACTATCTGTGTTACAGGTCTTAGAAATAATTATTTGTTTTTCCCCCACTACTATCCTTGCTGAAGAAATGTGTTTTGAGACACAGAACTAACAGTATCTGTTACTGCAGAGTCTACCATGTTGCACTTAAAACCCAACTTCAAGAGAATTCTTTCAACTTTAGAAGAAGTCCTCATCACTCCCAAGACCTTCCTCTTTCATTCTATTAGTAAAGTAGTCAAACTAAAAGAGGAAAATGAAACATTGTCAGAGAGAAGCAAACAACTGGAAAGGACAGCCAACAACCAATTGAGAAAACAGATTAGATGTAGTATGGGTAGTAATCACACCCATACAATCAGTGCTGCACAAGCTAAAAACCAAGTGTTTTGCCACCGAAATACACACAGATACGAATTAAGGCCCAGATCTGTCAGCTTCTTCTCCAATTTGCTATCTATGCCTTTGTCAGATTACAGGATTCACAATATTTTTAAAACCTTCAATATGACAGTCCTGGGAGCCAAGGGATTTACCTACACACAGACACAAACTCAAGTTATTGAAGGTGCGAGTAGAGAGAGACTAAGCAATTTCTCCAAGTGTCTGCATACTTTCACCTCTAATTAAGGAAGCTTTTTTTGTGATTAATGCAAGCATTAGCACACCAGTCCTCTGAAATGTTTAAATACTAGAATTTTTTTAAAATAAATTGTTATTTACTGCTTTTCTTTACCAGAAGAAGAGCTTTCTCCAGCTTTCCCACCAGCGTCTAGAAGAAAAAAAAAAAACCCAACTTTTTCTCTAGCTGTACTTCTTTCTTAGTCAGAAGCAGCCCTGAGAATAGTCCTACGGATGGCAATGATAGGATACAAAGCAGAAAAACATAAAATAATCCAAACAGGAAAAGACACTTCAGGAATGCAGGTCTCCCCCACAGGGAGCAAGAGACCCTCAGTTACCCCAAACCTGACATGGAAGCGCACTTCTTGCAAGTGAATGATTACTCCATATCTCCAGCAAAATAGTAAGTCACATTTATTACTCTCTGGGGTACAGTGCTTCTGATTTACACACCTTTACAAGTTTCATTTCAGGGCTGAGGTTTATACTTTTGTTGGCTCAGGATCCATGCAAAGCAATCCATGCGACAGCAGCAGAAACCACTACTGAAATGTCACACAATGGCTGGAGGTGCCGCTGCCCTCCATCCACCAAGTCCCTGAGCCACCGACTGCAACAAGCCCAGGGGGTGGGGGATCACGACATACTCATTACTAAAAAACCATCTCACTTGAATTGCAAGCACAGTTTCAGTTCCTTATCGACCATAATGTCAAGAAACACTACAGCTTATTTGAGAAGGCTTGATCAGATAGGCGATTTTTATCAATTTCCCCCACACAGAATGTGATTCCTACGCAGATCAAAATCAAATCCTGTACACATTTATGTCACTTTGAAGTCACTTCTGGACCTTCAAGCAGCACTAATGCAGGAGCAGGCTCATGGAAAAGCAGGCACACTGTTGCCAGTGAACAAATCCACAGACATCCTAGGGGGTTTCAAGACACACAGAATTGTGTGCCCGAGCCCAAGGAAACTGTCAACACCGAAACCAAGAGGAGAGACCTTCAGTCATTCTAAGACGAGTAAACCTAACAGCCTGATGCAGATGGCTTCTGATCTGCTCACTAAATAAATACAGGTATATTAGAAGATAGCCCAGACTGTGTTAAAAGAATGCTCAGGTAACAAACATGAAATTTATCCAACCAATTAACCTTATTATAAATGGTTATTTGTACATCTTGCCAGTATACTTTACGACACTGCTCACGCTAACACAATGGGCTAATGTTACCCCCCCTCCTAGATTTCTGCTTCATTAAAACCAATGAGCAGTTGACATTACTGAATGAGTTTCTCTTCTATCCCCTTACCATTATGCACAGTAAATGATTTCTCTTTTGGAGTCAGTCCTTTGCAAATTATGCAGAGACAGCAAGAGGTACATTCTGATTGTAGGATGGGCCTTCTACTCAATTTGAAGCCTATGCTACAAACCACAGAAGCATTACAGTATGTCAGCCCCCCATAACACTTACTGCTCCCCCCTAACAAGACAGGACAAAACCAGCAAGATTTTTCCTGTAATTTAAAATAAATAACTTTTTCTTCTTCTAGCCTTCCTCCTGAGAAGAGCTTTTTCTGGTGAAACTTTTCAGTGAAGTTCCAAGCTAGAGACAAAGATGTGTATTTAAAAAAAGGACAGCCAGAGCTGCCAACTTGGGAAAAATTTAAACAGTTTCACGCATCTAAAAAGGAAACCATTCCAATAGCTTTATTCCAGATATCACCAGGAGATTCACTTATATAATATTAACAAATTACCTCAGTGCAAGATAGCAAGTAAGGAGAGTGTGGAAATCTCTTCCAGGACAAACTCAGGAAGAGCAATTCCTGACCAACTCCAGAAAAGAACTGAAGTATTAAACAGTGGTTTGAAATAACCCAGTGGCTTTATAGCAAAACATGAGTGAATACCTAACGAATCTATCAAGTGTTTAGATTAGAAAGTCACTAGGATCAGATTCAAACAGCAAATATATTGTCAGTTTGATTTTGCTCTCCTCTTTTTCAGAAGTATCCGCTCTGCAGTACAGACACTGTAAATTTGTGTTCTCCTCCATTTTCACTGAACAGTTAAATAGAAAAGGAGAGGTAACAGGACCACAGCCAGGAAGTCCTGCTCGGCTTCCAGAGAAAAGCCAAGAAAATGAGAAAACAAGGTTGCTAAAAGCATCACTCTGTCAGAGAGTGAGAAAAGGGAGATATCTGACTACTTCCACTACCAGTGCTACACCTACTTTATACATCAAACACGCCTATTCTTTTGTTATCACTCCAGTAGAAAAGGTCTGGGAGTAAAGGCCACCTGAGGTAGAAAGAAACTGGACAGTAAATGCCAGAGTACAAACATGAAAGGCTATTTTTTCCCTTGTAATTACTGTTGTGCTTTAAGAGGTTTGTTTTGTTTCAGAGAGCAAGAAAACAAGAAAAAAAAAAAAAGTACTGGGGAATGAGCAAAGAACTTGAGAAGCAATTAGTGGCAGCTATGTAATTAGCTCTGGGGCTTTCAGAGAACATACTAGCAAGAGCCTGAAGCTTGCCGAGGGAGAAGAGAAAGGGACTGAAAAAAGGTCAGAAAAAGGAAACGGAAACTTTTTTCCAGACTGCGGCAGTTTTGCTCTATACTTTAAAAATCTACCTGGTTACACATCCCCTCTTTGTTTCGCTTAGGGGAAGCTTCCCCCTGGGAGCCACACACCCACGTGTCGCCGAGGGGGCGACCTCGGAACTGGGGGCCCCAGCCCCCTCCAACAGCCCCCGAGAGGCTCCCGGTGAGGGGTGCGCACGGTTCCCACCATCCCAACGGCGGCAACAAACCTCACAGCCGGGAATGCCCGCCCTTCCTGGGACGGGATCCCCCCCTTCCCGAGGCGGGACCCC